CTTTTGTTCCTTCCTGCCAGGTAAGAGTGGGCCATCAACGGACGGCTATAAACGTTGGCTTCAAGGGAAATGAGCCCACCTGGGTCATGCAATGCAAGTTAGTTCCCCCACCCCACCCCCAAAAAAAAAAAAAAGTTATATATAACGCACTCCACATAAATATTTAAGATTCTGTGTTATTTTTCCCTCAATGAGTGGAAATAAATAAACAATATGGTAAATTACTCACAATGGGATCACTCCTTTTTTAAATGTTTTTCATACGGAAAGACATGTTGGCCTAGAACACTAGATTCATTGTAGCGTCGCGAAAAGTTAAGTGACGTTTAAATTAAAACCGTGATAGCTAGATTTAAACAGGGTCGGGATGGATATTGACTGAGCCACGGGGCTAGAGTGTCACACTCTCTGGCATCACTTCTTTCATTCTAATTTTATTTTAATGTAATTAAAGAATGCCAGATCGATGGAATTATGCCATGTATAATAATCCACGTAACAATCATTCGTTGATTTTTTTTAGTTTGAAAAGAAAATCATTTTTCTGACACTGATGACAAGTAACATTGCGTGTTCTGAAGCTTATATCTGAAATAAAACTGCGCAATAATAAGCTTTATGAATATTCTAATACGAATTATTGGTAACATAGACCTTCCTTTCAAGTATTATTGTCTGATTGAAATGCTCGCAGCTGATTGCACGAGGTTGGCCGCCCGCAGGTTTTGGTTGATAGTAAATGCCAAAGGTTGCTCATCTACGCCAAGGAACTTGTATTCGTCTTCTTTACCTAACCACATGAAATGTACAGCTGCCTCATCAATTCTCATTGGGCTTGAGTCGAAGCAATATCCCTGAATTGTTTGTATGGACCCATACACTCCATATAATACAGGGACCGTTCCAAATGAAAGCACGGCACGTGGGAGACTCCGAAGTACATGTACGTTTGGGGTCTTCTATCAGATAATGTTGCGCCGTGTTTTATCAAGTGTCAGAATCTGATAAAGAAAGAGAACCATATTATATGCAGTGCTATATTGCTCGATCGCTTACCCCCTTCACGTGCTGTAGGTTACTCGGATCGTGAAGTTGGGTCCTGATGAGACCTGATCTTTGGAACCGAGTGTAGTCAATGTTATGCTCACGAGTCACGAGAGGAACTTTGACACTTTGCATACCAAACTTTGTCTTTATTCTTTTGTTCGCTTTATTCACTTACGCAGTTTTATTTGTAGCAATGGCTTTCAGTGGCGTCATGGCGTAATAATTCGACGCGTGAATTGATCATGACACACAGTATCGAGCGTCGATCATCGATCCACTAAGACCAATTATGGCAAATTTACACCACTCTTCGTCGCTGGACGAATTCCCGGAGATCGAACATCTCTCGAATTATTATTTTTTTAATCTTGTTTTTTTTGTGAATTAGACTTCACTTGATAGAATATCGCCTGTTATTGTATCTTTTTCAATGAATAAAGAGTTGGAATCACGTACGTTTATGTGCTATGGCCCCAAAAGTCAAAACCTCCTCTTTAATAACCCTTCCATGCACATGTATATTGTATGATTGCATTCGCGTGCAGTATATTGATTAAGAAAAAGCAATCGCCACAATGAAAGGTTATGTAGCAACAGCAACAACAATAACAATTACTCTTTTGCAATAACATGTATATATGCAGTACTGTGCAGGGTTTGAAATGTAAGCACAGTAGTACACTGTCGATACTCTCTCATTTATTACTCTCTTCTCTTATTTAATAAGGAAAATAGCATACAAGAGCCAATGTATAATATTTATATCACACAAGAACTAAATAGTTTCATATTTTTACTGTAGCCCTCTAGTACTTTGGACATATTAATTTTACGGGTAAAAAGATTGAAATATTTCTCATAGTTAAAAAACAAAAGAAAAAAGAAACCTCCACCACCGACGGCAAGGTCTCTAGAGCCTCTGCTGCAGGCAGGGTCATCGACGGTTGATAATCAGAGCTCCAATGTTAGTAACATTTTATTTTAAAACTAAAGTTTTTAAGTGATTAAGGGTGAGTTTGATTTTATGACCTTTGGTCATATAAAAAGTTTGGTGGCCAAAAGCCCTTTAATATATATATATATATATATATATGGCAGAAAACAAATTATAAGTAGTAAATCAAGTACAAAACCACTTTTATATAATAATTTAATATGTGTTACTTTTTGAACAGAACTTGTTATTTTATGAATATTACTTGTTAATTTGATATGAACAATTGTAAATTGAAGGCTTCAAAACTTCACTCATTTTACTTGTTAAACGTCCTAATGTATTGTTATCAATCACAAATAAGTTGTTGTCAAAATCAAATGGATACTTGTTAGCCAATGACTAATACGTACAACTAAACCATTCTCATCATTTTTTTAACTTGTTAAAATCATAATAGATTCTTATTAATTTTAAATGAATTGTTTTTATTTTACGAATGTCTCTTGTTAATCTGACATAGATAATTACAAATTAGGAGTTTCAAAACTGCATTCATTTTATTTGTTAAATATCTTAATGTATTGTTGTCAATTACAAATAAGTTGTTGTCAAAATTAAACAGATACTTGTTAGACAAATTAATAGGAAGGGTCAGTACGTATTAATATTCACTAACAAATTTGACAGTGGATTATATGAAAGTGGTTTTGTACTTGTTTACTACTTATAATTTTTTCTGTCATATATATATATATATATATTAAAGGGTTTGGTGGCCTAATGGCCACCAAAACTTTTTAGGCAGCCAAGAATCATGAGATTAAACTCACCCTTGACCATCTAAAAACCTCAGTTTTGAAATAAATATCGTCGATGTTGGAGCTCTGACGACCTTGTCGTTGGTGGAGGTCCAATGACCTGCGATAATAGAGGGTTTTTTTTGTTTTTCAACTATGAGGAGCATTTAGGTGGCCAAAGATTATGAGATCAAACCTATCTTTAGCTACCTAAAAATCTCAATTATGAGATAAAGTGATTTTGTGTTGGGTTTATTATTTATAATTTTTTTTGTCACACACACACACACACACACATTAAAGGGTTTGGTGGCCAAAGCTCTTTCGGTGGCCAAGGGTTATGAGATCAAACCCACCTTTGACCACTTAAAAATATCAATTTTGAAATAAAATGTCGTTGTGTCGGAGCTCCGGCGATCTTGTTGCTGGCGAAGGTCTAATAGTCGGCGACAGTGGGGTTTCTATTTTTTTATTTTTTAATTATGACGGGCATTTTAATCTTTTCACCTATAAAATTAATATGTCAGCAGAACCAGAGGACTGTAGTGAGAATATAAAATCATTTGGTCTTTGTGTGATATAAATATTGTACATTAGCCTTTGGCTGCTATTTTCCCTACTTAATATTCCCTCCATCATTATATACAATTTTTTTTTATAATCTTATTTTGTCTATAAATATAAGAGATATTATGATATAGTTTGAATAATTCGATGATTTTATCCTTGTTTTAAAAAGAGAAAGAGATATTAATTATGTTACTCACCCTCATAATAATAATTATGAAATTATTAAAGAGAAAATTGAAAGATTATTACAATTTTATTTGCTGCCAATTAAACAATTTTTTATTAATATATAAAATTTAATTAAAAATATTTTATATATAAGAACAAACGAAGAATTTACCTTCCCTTGAAGGACTTCGAAGGACCAAATGGCTAAAAAAGAACGGTTGGGCTGGACCGAAAAAGAGAGGTGTCTCTTCATTTTTTATTACTTTTCCTTCACTTTTTAATCATGAACCCTCATCAAATCTATATGACCAAGGCAAATTCATTTAATACAGTGATATTAACTGTTATGATTGAGAAGTGATTCAATTTCCAAGCTGCTTCAAACGAATGCTATTTGACTGGAAAATCGTCATTAATTAAAAGCAATCGATTTTTTGTTCCTTACCTGTTAGTGCGAAAATCAAGTGCTAGATTTCCTATGATTTTACTTTATTTTTGGGGCCACCGCTAGGTAGGACTAGGATAATACAGCGATGGAAATGAGACGCATATTTTCAAAAAGAAACTACTCGCTTGAACAAATCAACACGCACCCTTTTAAGTTTTGATGATTAACCTTCTAGAAAAAAATAAATGCCCAGTCCAAATTCCAGCCTTTCTTTTTCCCAATATAACATAATATTCGGTCCTTTAGTTAGAACAACAATTACAGGATTTTAAATACTGATTCATAAAATCTCCTCTGTCTCTCTCTCTCTCTCTCTAAAACAATTCATGAAATTTACAGACTCTTAATTTTAAAAAAATTATTATAATTGTTCAAAAAGAAAAAAATATTATACAATTATAAAAAAAAAGAAAAAATATTATACATATTAGATTCTCTTAACAAACCCTTTGGTAAACGGATTCCCAAATAGATAGGACTTGACGAGCAGATCTTATGCTGGATAAGATTATTTTTTCGACCGAAATAATGAATTAAATAAAAGATTGTTTTTATCCTTTCTTTCTTTCTTTTCAACAGGAAAGAGAAACTTTCTCATTTTATAATTAATATAATATAATAATACTGTTTAAGATAATTTCTTACAGGAAAAAGGATGATCGGTCATTCTTCAAGCTTATGTAATGTAACCTTTTAGTCTTTTTACAACACTTTAATTGATTTGTCTGCGAAGAAAAAGAAAAATTACTTTTACGTAATAAATTGAAAAATTGAGAATTTTTGGGGCCAAGATGTTGAAATGTTCAGTGTTAATTGAGTATACTGACGAGATATTTCATTTATTGCCTTTTGAATTCGTAAAATTTACTCCAGCACAAAAGGGTGTTTTTTTTTTTAACCAGGAGAACGGTGTCAAAGCCTTGAAAGTTGAAATCAAGGTTTTTTTTTTTTTTTAAATTGAACCCCATTTTATGAGAAACGGTTAAAAGATGGTTACGTTCCGGTCTGCTATATATGCTGAAGCACCGAATACGTGAAGCTTCGAAACTCAAACTCTTTCTGCTATTCGTTTCTCTCCCACTCGGTGGCATTTTCCAGAGTTTCTCAGTCGAAGCATAGCCTTGAAGATGGTGGCCAGAGCTGCATTAGCTCGTAACATCGTTGGCATTTTAGGTTTGTGCTCTGATCATATCAGATCAATCAACTCTTTCGATCTGTGTTTTTCGCTGATCTTCCGCTACTTGAATTTCTCTGAACATAAATATTCCATTATTTTTCCCGGTTACTGGATAACATGCTTAACATTAAATAATTTTCTGTCGAATTTTCTGTTCGACATTGAGAAGAGGGAGTTGCGTACTGTTTTTATGCGCCATTGATGGATGTGACTTTACTTGCTTTGAACCCTAAATTTTAGGGATGCGTAGAGATGAGGTATGGAAGAAAATCTCCCACTTCAATTTTACCTCCAGGGCTCGACGATTGGAAATTTTAATGTGTTCATGTTTGTGCAAAGACTATTTGAGACTTCTGTGTTGTGATGTGATGTGTTGGTTTTCTGTGCAGGAAATGTCATCTCCTTCGGTTTGTTCTTCTCGCCGGCGTAAACCTTCTCTCCTTCCCTCCCTCCCGCGCCTCCCGTGTGTTCTTTTCTTTTCTTTTTCCTCCTTTGCTTTGCATGCATATGCATAATTGGATGCTGGCCTTGTAATCTATGCATTGCTGGATGACATGTTGAAGTTTTAGAGAGAAATCATCGCCATTAAATCAACGAATACCCACACATTTTCTGAATAATATAATATTGTGCATATCCACATTTTTTTGAATAATATAGTGAATATCTTGGATATGGGTGGAAATAAGATGGCCTAAATTAAGCTTTGACTAAATAGATTTGAGCTTGTATGGTAAATCAGAGTGGTAAATCAAAAGCTTGAACTTGATCTAAAGCTTGTATAAGGGTTTTTATATAGTTTAAGTCTGAGCCTACTTAAAACTTAACTTGTAAGTCTATTTAAAAATTTACTTAAAAGTAAAGCCTTTTAAATAGGCTTGCATTAGTTTTACACGTTTCAAATATACTTTCTTTAGGGTTATTGTAATATATAATATATAACTTAATTTATTAATTATAATATATAATAATTGAAGGAAATTATTAACTACAATATAATATAATAATAAAGTAATAATATTAAAATTAATATATAAGTTAAATATAATAAAAAAATATAATTAGAAGTGGTAAATAATAAATTGATTAAAAATATTATGGTGAAATTGACATGTCTGTGATATAGTACATAATATATATAAATAAACTGGCCTATTGAGCTTGTAGGTTATGTCTTGAAAAAATAAACCTAACCTATTTAATTAAATATGCTTAATTAAAGGCTTGAATTTGATTTAAGGCTAGCTGTTTAGTAAGTAGGCTAAACTAAATCTGAAATATGTTAGGTTGTAGGTCCTTGTTAAGGGTTTAATTTATTTCCACCCATGGCCCCTTTGAAAATCTAAAATTTTTGATAAAAAAAAAATTTCTAGCACTTGAAAACATCTTGATCCGCCAATTAGGTGAGTGCCGTGAATTCATATTTAATGAACGGGGCGCTGAAAAAGACGGAAGCTTCGAGTTCAATAAATTAAGCTGTGGGGGCTCCAAGAGAAGACATGCAATACGAATGAATAAATGATGCATGATGAAATAAATAAAAAAGTATACAACTCTTGGAAGCTAGTGTTCTATGCTGGAAATTATGAGATGCTATGAACTGTCGTATTTTCAAAAATGAAATATTCAATGTGGATAGCTCTTTAGCACAAATTAAAGCTATAGTTGATCACACGATTAGGACTTACAGTACTTATAGTACCCTGATGTAACTATCTGTCTTTTTGTATCTTATACAGTTTGATTCATGAATTTATCCCATTTCCACTCAAAAAAAGAGTGTGTGCGCGTGTGTGTGTATAAACATATTTGCCCGTGAAATTAGCTTCATATTCATCTGCTATTTCAGTTGCGCAGGAGCGCGCGCACACTTATCAGTTATTGAATTGTTTTCAGTCCAACTTTCATTGGAATAATAAAGAAGAAAGCAGTAGAAGAGTTCAAGCCAGATCCTTATCTAGCAACGGTGATAAACTGTGCGTTTTGGGTGTTCTATGGAATGCCTTTTGTGCACCCCAACAGCATTCTTGTGCTTACTATTAACAGTGTTGGGCTTGTATTCGAAGTCGTCTACCTCGCCATCTTCTTCACCTTTGCCCCACAAAAAGGACGGGTACGTATAATTTCTCCCTCCTAGAATTAATGCTCGCTTGACTGACTTGATGTATCATAATTTGACTTGTTAGGATATGTGCGCGTGCTTTTAAGTAGATTCGTTTATTATCAGATTTTTCATGCTTAAACGAATTGTTAGAGTTGTCCCACACTCCCATTTCATGGAGGATCCGTGCGGGGTAAAAGCAAAAAATAATGAGCTTATTAGAAAAAAGAAAATGCAAAGAACGCGGGCAACGAACCCTCTGGCGGACAATAGACCATGGAATAGCAGAGATCCGTGCTCGTCAAGGTTTGCGTTAAGAATATTTCCCATATTGAATTAATGAGGCGTTTTGGGCTTGCTTGCTGATATATTCCTCTCGGTTATGCCGTTATGGTTAAGCCTACGCCTAGAACCCCATCAATTTAGGTATTCGTAAAACACGTGCGTTGTCTCTCTTTTTACCTGTTTTCTTCTTCTCTAGAGGAATCAGGTTGGTTCGCGGGCACCATAAATATCTCGTGATTCTTTTATTGGTACACTCCATAAATAAATTACCTTGCCTACGTTCTTTCTACAGGCTGGTGCCCATCTCTATTGGGTAAATGGTACGCTGCCAATACCTTCTTTGAAATATTTTTAGATGTATCTTGTCAAAATTATTACCTTTTTGGCGGGACTTGAGCCCTATTTAAAATATTTAATATAAAATAATAAAGAATTATATTTGTTTAAAAATTAGGTATTATTATGTGAAATCATTGTTTCGCAGGAAAAAAAAACAATCTCTCTTTATGTGTGCGTGAATCATAGCCATAAACTTGATTGGTAAGATGAACGGACTTAAAAAAAAAAAAAAGAAAGAAAGAAAGAAAGAAAGAAAGAGTACTAGCTAGAAGTGTTATGTATATCCAATTATACCACACTCTGTACTCGACCTCCGCGGCCAAAAAGTTTACAGCAGCATACCGTCTTGCATGATTTGTCACGACTTCCAAATTTTTGTGCCATTATTAATTTATTATAAATCCTCCTTCGTCCTTTAACCTGTGAGAGAATTTCGTCCTCTCGCGATGCACAAAGAACATTGACAAACATTACCGATGCTATGATTATTCGGTAATCAGAACCCGTAAATACGGATATCTACAAGTGGCACGGAATTTGGTGTCTCTTACAGACTTCTCTATTTGTATAATTAAATATATTTATTATAAAATTATTGGCTGTCAAAACAAAACTAATTATTATATGTGAAAAAGTCATATGTTTAATCTAATAATTTTAACTGTATTATATAACTAAAAAAATATAAAAAATATAATCATTGATCTCTAGTACACTTTTCATTGGATTATGTTTTTAATTCTTCTAATTTATTTTTAGTATTTTCAATAATTATAATTTCTGTAATTTAATATCATTAGGGCTTTGAGGAACAAGTATCACTTAATTTTGTTGAAACTATAGAAATTGTAAGCATTTAAAATATTATAGAAACTAAAAGTAAAACTTGATAAAATTATAGAGATTAATGATTGTGTTTTTCAAAAATTTATGCAGGTAAATTTTTAAAAGTATATTTTTTCTCTCACACAATTAACATATTTTAACTTGGAAAAATTATAATAATTAATTAAACACGATTCTATCTGCAAGTGGCTGCAGGGTCTTCGTCCGATGGCAAGCTATTTCGATACACTGCCATATTTTTTATTCACATTGGTTGATTGTCAACATATATGGCAATAATTCCCTATGAAACTCATCATTGGCTTAGTAATAATACGGTATGTTAAGAAATGTTTATTGTTTCATTGCTCAAATTGTCCAGAAGAAGGTTATGCTTGCGCTTCTGGTGGAGACCATATTTTTCGGAGTCATAGTTCTTATTACGATGCTGGCATGGCATGGCACTGAGAAAAGGTCGTTGATCGTTGGTATTCTGAGTGATGTGTTCAATATTGTGATGTATATTTCGCCCCTTACAATCATGGCCAAGGTTATAAAGACCAAGAGTGTGAAGTACATGCCCTTTTGGCTCTCGTTCGCTAACTTCTGTAATGGTTTGTGCTGGGCAATTTATGCTCTCATCCACCCCTTCGACCTTTTTGTCCTGGTATGCAAGCTATTTTATATTTCAGTTTTACCAGCTAATTAATAATTATCAGCTTTCAGCGATTGACCTGATGAATTGCTATTATGGATGATCTTACAGATTAGTAATGGTCTTGGAGCATTATCTGGTCTTGTTCAGCTGATACTATACACTTTTTATTGCTCATGCAAGCCAGATACCAGTGACAGCGACGACGATAACACTTCTAAAAAACCTGCTGAAATCCAGCTCCCGGCTACAGATGGAGCAGCTAGAGTCTGACGCGTATCTTCGCATCAAATATTAGATTTGGCTATACTTCATTCTTTTTATATTTTGAGACAAAAAGTGGACCTTGGTTTGATATGTTTATGTACATGATTGGAGCGAGAACTGTAGTGTGATTGCATTATGCAACTTGTGTTCCCCGTCTTGTGATTGGGAGGTCATGACCGCAACCCAAGTAAGCTTACAGTTTCTATCCCAAAAACTATTGTGCATGTTTGGTAATGCAAATTGACTTTTTTCATACTATAATTAAGGCGAGCTGGTTAAATTTGACTAAATGATTAGATTAATTTCTAAAACTAGTTACTACTAAGATGATTAGATTTGCGAGAAATCTTAATGAAAGTCGGTCATGGATAATTCTTTAAACTGGAATTAAGTAAAGTCAAAATCCGGCATGTTGGCACAAACAAACAAAGGATAAATGATCAAATCAGACTCAGACCTCTGCCTGAAAGAAAACAAAATGGGAAAACCTCACCCTTTTAGCTTTCGGCAACTGTGAATGGTTGGATGGGCTGAAGCCTGAAGGTTGAGGCCTGATCCAGTCGATTTACCAAACAGATGGAAGCTTCCGCACCCCCCCAACCCCCACCCCAAAAAAAAAAAAAAATATCTTTCTCTTTTTATTTTCAAGTTGGTCCAATTGGAAATTCCAATTTCCGATTACATTGGTTTTCGATATCTCATATCTTATCCGATTCCGAGCTCAAACGAAAATCTTTGCGCGACCGTCCCTTGCACAATACAAACCCCAAATTGACTAAAACCTTATCTATTACATCTGCTCTTTGTCCTTTTGTTTTCCATTTCATCTTTCAAACGTAGACACTCGCGGAGTCACCACTATTTGGCGTTCAATATTGAAGGCTCATGAAATTTGTTGCCTGACACCTTGGCGTAATTTCCATGGCAGCCATTGTTCCCTGCCACTACTGTGCTTCGGCAGCTACCGCCAGATTGGCCAAGCCAAACACTCTCTCTAGCCGCTTTCGCTTCCCGGTTTCTCTGGGCAATGCTGGACTTCGGGATTTCAGCACTCGATGCTCTTACCAAGAACCCCAACCTACAGAATTCCATAACAAACATGTAAGGCTCTAGAAATTCTGAATTTTGATTATCATTATCTCACTGCATTCCCTTTTTAATCGAACACTTATCTTGACATTAATGAATGCGTGCGGCTGAATAAATGAGTGGTGAAATATTGCCCCATCAGCATCTAGTTTGATCTTAGAATGTATCTTTGGGAGATACTGCTCATCTTCTAATCTTGTGTTCATGTGGAATGTATTTCTATAAAAATGGGAATAGTGGAACTCAAAAGACAACTCTCCCATAGACCAGGAGGACAGTAGATAAGGTAATGATCTTCTAAACAAGATCTAGTCATATCAGTATCGGAAGAAGCCTTGATACAGAGCTGTATTTAGGTTCAAATTAATCTGCATCTAATGTAAAATCTTGCGTTATGCAATGGCAAAAAAATAAAAATAAAAAAAAGCCTTGCTTCATGTTTTTATCTAGAACTATTGTTTCAGTTACAGAATCAAAAAGAATTGTTGGCAAACTAGTGGACAGTGGTGCGGTACTCGGGCCAAAACAAAAGAAACACTGGTGGCGTGGTACTAATGGCAGCCACATTATCTTCCCTTGAGATTAGTTACTTAGTGCTGAAGAATTGGAAACCATTTCTTGCATTGATATTATTAAATTGAACCTTGTTTTGTATATGGAATATATTTTCCTTTTCATAACATGCTCCTGTCACTTTGACAAGATTTGAGATTGTTGCAATGTACGATTGGAGCCTTAACCCTTTTTTTTTTTTTTTGTGTGTGCATATCTTGGAGTAGAAAGGGTGGCCATTTTCCCTAAAGCAGTGTGCAGTTTCTATAGCACTAGCAGTTGGGTTAATTACGGGAGTTCCTCCCTTGGGCTGGTCTACCCATGCCCATGCAGCTAACCCTGTGTTGCCTGACCTGTCTGTATTGATCTCTGGACCACCAATAAAGGACCCCGGAGCATTGTTGAGATATGCTCTTCCTATAGACAATAAAGCAATTCGAGAAGTGCAAAAACCTCTTGAAGATATTACAGACAGTCTAAAGGTTGCAGGAGTTAAGGCACTTGACTCTGTGGAGAGAGTAAGTCATCCTTATTCTTTTAATTGTGGTTAGCGTAGTGCCCATGCAATTTGTGTATAAGCATTTGTGTTCTTTTTTTCCTCACAACAATAAAGTTCAAGGGACCTGTTACTTTGTGTGAAATGTAGAACTTGAGACAGGCATCCCGAGCTCTCAAACAAGGCAAGACTTTAATTGTATCAGGGTTAGCTGAATCAAAGAAAGAACATGGAGTTGAATTGCTTAATAAGCTGGAAGCTGGTATGGACGAGCTTGAACTGATTGTGCAGGATAGGAATCGAGATGCAGTTGCACCAAAACAGAAAGAGCTTCTTCAATATGTTGGAGGGTAAGTAACTTAGTAGTCACATTTAGGTTTATAAAGCACATGAAGATGCTGTATTCCGGTCATTCCCATTTATGCTCATAAGAAAAATGGCATGGAGTTAAGCAGATCAGTACATGTTTTTACTACATCAAGGCTCAGGATATTTCTTTGTGCTAAGATTAATTGCACTTTAAATTGTTATTCTGTCATCAGGTTATTTAAGACTGAGATCATATTAATAGAAGTTAGGATTTACTAGATTCATGAGTGTACTCTGGGTTTTTGACCAGGTAAACCACATAACTTTCCTTAATCTTTTCCTGGGAACTTCCTGAAAGTGTTCTCTATGAAGGTTTGGTTGCTTCAATGATATAAATGAGGTTGTAGCTTATAGCCTTATATCTGTGGAGGAAATCGCCATGATTTTAGGTGTTAACAAGAGCTGTATCCTTTACTAGAAATAGGAGGTTGAGGAGGACTTGGAGAATTAATATTCTGAAGAAAGAAGACTGTTCTCTTATATAACCTTTCATTGACTGCAGCTGAGATGTTCCTGGGGCATTACGTTTCTGCAGTGTTGAAGAAGACATGGTTGATGGTTTTCCGTATGAAGTGCCTGAGGAATACCGAAATATGCCTTTACTGAAAGGAAGAGCAACTGTGGATATGAAGGTCAAGGTTAAAGACAATCCCAACCTGGAGGAATGTGTTTTCCACATAGTGCTTGATGGTTATAATGCCCCTGTAACTGCTGGGAATTTTCTTGACTTGGTAGAAAGACACTTCTATGATGGCATGGAAATCCAGAGAGGTAAGAAATATATACCACGCATGCATTTTTCTCCTCCTGGTCTTCATTCAAATATTGCTGGTTTTGTAGGGAATATTTTATATTCCTCTTCTCCAGCTTTGTGGATGAAGAATACTTCTTTTGTCCCGAATTATTAGACAATTTGAGATGAGATTATGTATACCAATAAAATACAATAATGACGTTTTATAAATTTATTTTTTCAAAACAAAACTATAAACTTTCAAAAATGCCTCTACACACTTAATCGTTATGCTATAATATCATTTCGATTCTTTTCCAACTTGAAGAGTAATATTGAAAAAGTATCATCAATGAAACCTTATTTTCCTCAAATTGCTTTATATTTTGGGATAAAAAATTTCTCCAAAGTTGTCTTATAATTTGTGACAAATGGAATAGAAGATATATACTAGGTCCTCTTATTCTACTCCTTGCACAAGAGTGGGCAATGGATATTCATATTATGCTTTTATGTTCCCAATCAATGACTATATGTCGACAGTAATTTATGTTTTTGTGATGGAAGCATTATCACATACCAGTATGAAAGATCTATAATTTTGTATATGGATCTATAAATAGGATTTTTTTTCAGTGTTGCTGCCCCACTTTTATATGCAGTTTGACTGAGATTTAGTTTTCTTGAAATTTCCTCAATTCTTTGTTCAGCGGATGGGTTTGTTGTCCAAACGGGTGACCCTGAAGGCCCTGCTGAGGGTTTCATTGATCCAAGTACAGAGAAAACAAGAACCATACCTCTAGAGATTATGGTGGTGGGAGAAAAGACACCTGTTTATGGAGCAACTCTAGAGGTCAGCTGCAACCTTGTTCCTTGGTGCATGTTTGTGTATTTTTTTTTTTCCTTATTTGATGTTTAAATGTTTGCGAGCCAAATTAATCTTCAGTTATACTTTTTCTATGTTGAATATAATGTTTTTTCACAGGAGCTTGGTCTCTACAAAGCTCAAACAAAACTTCCATTTAATGCATTTGGAACAATGGCCATGGCAAGAGATGTGAGGCTCTCTGTTTTTTTTGGGACATGATGTTCATTAATCTTAATCATCATGTTTACCAGTATTTATTTTTTTATTATTTTGTTTTATCTAAAACTCCTTTCACGTTGAACAGGAATTTGAGAATAACTCAGCCTCTAGCCAAATTTTTTGGCTATTGAAAGAAAGTGAGTTGACTCCCAGTAATGCCAATATTTTGGACGGTCGCTATGCAGTGTTTGGGTATGTAACAGAGAATGAGGATTACTTGGCAGACCTCAAGGTTGGTGATGTCATAGAATCGATTCAAGTAGTCTCTGGCCTCGATAATTTGGTGAATCCAAGCTATAGGATTGTTGGATAGGGATTTGCTGTTAAATTATTCTGCATAGGTTATGAGTACATGCCGGCTACCTGCGTTAAGTTTGTCAAGGAAGGTTGCCTGTGATATGAATTTGCTCGCTCTCGAGTTTGTTTATTTTTTTTCAAGAATCTAGAATTCCTTGTACAAGAACCTAACATTCATTTGTTCAGTTTGAGTATATTCTGTTCAAGACTGAATTGAAGCCAGTATGTATCACATCATGTAACTTACATTGAATTAATTCCCAAATAAATTTGTGATTTTCCAGGGAAGAAACAGTTAATCACGTCGTTTAGATGCTGGTTCTACAGTTTAGTTACTGATGAATTAGTGAGTTGAAAAAACAAGGTTCCTTGTATACTAAATCCTCATGTTGATTAATAACAATATTTTTTGTCCCCCCCATTGCACTGTGCTGATTCGAACTTGGATGATCTCAAGTTTAACGTAAATTAGCAAGTAGAGAATTAGTGCGGCTATAAGAATGAGCTAAGAAGCAAACTTGAGCTAAAACAGATCACTTACAAGCTCATGACATGAAATGACGCGGAAGCTAACAAGTAGGTGAAATGAGGAAAGGCACAGTTAGGTTTACAAAAATCACAGCCCAACAGTGTATGTAACTACATATTGCAGAACTCTTCATTGCTTTTTCTGTGCATTTCATCTTTGATTCTTCCATCCCTATCTATCATTTCATTTCAGTTAAACAAATACGAATTGAGCCTCCAGATTACTAAAAATATTTGAGGTTTCAAGGTCCACGGTATCTTCGGAAACAAAGACAACTTTGGGGCTCATCATGAGGGATCATGCCTCCACCTTTTGAAGTGTCTATAGCTTCCAACATTGTCACCACCTCATCCATCTCTGGTCGCTTGTCAGGATTCGCATCCCAGCATCTCTTCATTACATTTGCCAGAGAGCTTGGGCAACATCGAGGTATCTCTGGCCTCAGATTCTGTATTTCCACAATATACTCAAAACTGTTAAAAACGCCCAAAAATTTGAATGCCACTTACAGTTTTGCCTGCTGATGTTTGCTCAGTGAAAAAGTTTCTAAAATAGACCCTGTCTAAGTGAAACCATAGTGTTAGAGCCACTGAATTCATTTCCTGTACCTGACGGACAACAGCAGACGTCACTTCTGAGAAGCTAAGGTCAGGATATGGCATGTCGCAGCAGTATATCTCCCATAGGCATATACCAAAACTATACACATCACACTTTCTATTATATGGACTACCGTTTAAAACCTGCCCACAGCAAAAAGTTTAAAGGACGTTAGATGAAGTATCTGAAATGAAAATTGTTCTGCGACCCCTATTAAGAGCTGATCATTAATTATAACAGAATATATGCCTGAAGGTCATGGATCTACAGAGAGCTAGCTAATCACAATTTTTTATCACATTAATATTTGAAATAAATCAATCAATTCTATGCAAAGATGCATAACCTTCTAAGACTTCACAAAACTAATAAAGTCTAGGTTAGATACTTGATACACTCAGAGGTTTCCATAAGTTTACGGTTCTAAAATTCCAGTTGCTGAAGATGCAAACTGCTGGGAACTTATTAAGGCAACAAAGACACAAGCACAGATGATTTTGATAGCGTAGCAATGAAATGGTCATTCTATGCCTATCACATACCTCTGGAGCCATGTAACCAAGAGTTCCAGTTTCCCCAGTCATGTCATGAGGATTAGAAGCCTCAATGCGAGCTACTCCAAAGTCAGCTATCTTCAAGGTTCGTGTCTTGTCTAAAAGCATGTTTTCTGTTTTGACATCTCTGTGGACAATCTTCTTCGAGTGGAGATAGCTCAACCTATATAAATTATAGCAAAGCAATCAAGCTCAGAAAGCAAGTCCAAGATGACATACCGGAAAGACATAAATTTAGAGTGTGAATTGGACCCTCTTGCAAGATCAAGTGCCAGTTGGACAACCACTTTAAATGCGAGCTTCTTTCTCCTGTTTTTGATGAGGTAAGACTTGAGTGCACCCCCAGGACAATACTCAACAACAACACAACAAATATTACTTGGCATTCCTATATGACCATTTTCCATTTGTATGTGTAGATCTGATGAGCCCACTGTTGCTCCAATGAACTGCAAAACAAATATTAACAATTGAAAGTAAGGTGTGTTAACAACAGAGAGAGTGAATAAATTACTTTACCTTCTGATTTAATAGAAACAGGATGGTGTATGTACTGTGTTGTAGGTGGAAGAAAATTATGATAAGAACGAAGAATTGAGAAACTTACCTTTGTTACGTTAGGATGGTCAAGCTTGTGCCAAACAGCAACTTCTTGCGTAAAAGCTGCTCTCAGAGAAGCTATTTCAGCTTCTGACCGATGGCCCTCTTCTCCCCAGTCAAGGAGCTTCACTGAGAGAATAAAATGAAATATGAACTACTTCATATAAGTCATCTGGATATCCTATGTAACGACTTCCTTTTATCTTTCATTTATTCAAAATGCAGTGTTACTGCAGGGTTAACAAGTTCAAAATTTCCGGATCACAAGAATTACATAGTTCCACACAGACCATGATTACACTAGTTTTTTCTTTTGTTTCCTTGGAAAAGGAAAACTCATTTTACGAATGGCTGGCTCTAATTAAAAGAGTTCGAGAAATCAGAAACGTAGATTTACGTGGCAGCATAATGTCCAGTCAAAGCCAGTCAACGGTTTCAATGGTATAAATTTCATCATCCAGCACCACACCAATTGACAATTGTAAAATAAGGGCATATCAGGATTAAACTATAACACATGAAAGTTAAAAAAGGAAAAGAGGAATGTTAAAGTTAATGGAGAGAACTGTCAAGTCAACTCTATCTTGTGAGTTCTTAAAAAATAGAAAATAAAGACACAAAAGCACACACTCAATCTTGTGAATCACGGATATTGTTAGTATGAATCTACAAAGTTGCAGTGCTTGCATTCGCAGTTAACATAATTACATGTTTCCACTAACGTGGCTTCTTAAACAGCTAAAGGGAGCGAAAGAAAGTAAAAGATGGACTTCGTGTCCTCCAATATACAACCCTCAAAGAGGAGCCTTGAGCACGTAGAACTTCTTCTTTCCTTATAAAGCAAAAAATATGGAGCCATAGCAATTAAGAATCAGAAATTTCTGTACTTCTACCATGTCTATGGAATATAGATGCTGACATGGAAGAAGTGACTAAGGAGTAAATCACATCTACATATTATGCAAAAACGTCAGCTGGAAACACTCATAACATGGTCATCTCAAAGCTAATAACGTTGCTTCTTGCAGTAAGTGTCGAATAACAAATGAATGGAAGTAAACGGTACTGATAACGCAGCTCATTTTTTTTTTTTCTTTACAAAAATTAGAAACTGAAATTGTGGGAATAGACATGGAAGAAGCAGAGTAGTACCTGCAACATCTTGGCCATCATAAATGCCACGGTGAACGGAGCCAAAAGTGCCGCGAGCAATGACGCTTTTGACGATGAGCTTGGAAGGGTCAATCTCCCATTCTTGCCTCGTTTGGGTAGACCTCCCTCCACTCTCCTCTTCTTTATTATTCTTGTTCTTCTCCATCGTCCATGCTCGTGTCAGATGCCTCTGAAGCTGCTCGTCCAAGCTCTTCAGATCTATCTGATCTGCTCTCACATACCCTCCACCTCCACTCTCGCTCTTCTCCTTCATCTCTTTCCCACTCTTCTCCTCCACCTCAAAATAATTGCCACGAAATGGCTGTTATTGCGGTCGTCGTCGAATGTTATGGCGCGTGTATATGAACATTAAAGCACCATATTCATGATCCAACTAAGCGAATTCCGATTCGTCCCCAAGCCTTTTCTGATTATGTTACGACTGGGGATGAAGTTGGTGCTGGCGTGAAGGTCATAAATAAACACAATGGTGGCTGTGGATACAAGTACTTGTTCTAGTCTCACTCTCTGGCTCTTTAATCACAATCATACATGTGGGCACATGGAGTTTACCTGAAGACGACGTGTGTTTGGAACCCACCTCGATCTCCGCCTCGCTTCTTTGCTCGCACTCTGACGTTCTGTTTGAAACCCGAGAGTCAAGACCTCTCTCTCTCTCTCTCTCTCTCTCTCACAGAGACTGAGGGCTCTGCTTTCTCGGGTGGTGTTTGTTTGTTTCTCTTTTTTATTACCTTAATGGAATTCACGGTCAATGGACCTTTCCATGTGACATCCTTTTCAAATTAAAAGGGGCTTATCCTTCCTTCCTCACTGTCACAGGATCATCTATGACTTACAGATTGTTATTACGACTTACACGTCCAACCGCTTCATCGTTAATCCTCTCTTTCATCACGTCCAACAGGATTACCCACACATCACATTTCAACAACACTTTCTTCCTTTTGATTATCGACAATTTAAATTTTAAACACACCACACACACACCCACGCGGATGAGGCAGGATTTTAACGCCACTGTGGCACATCCCACTGATACAGCACTTCTTCCTTGATATTTTGTCCAACTCGGTATTTCGGTCCAAGAGACTTCTAAAAGAAATATTAATGACAGTAAATTACGCGATTCGAGTGATGGAGTTATCACCGCTTAAGTATAAATTGAACGTTAAAAACGTCTTAGGAAAGTTGTTTTGTTGTTAAAATGAAACCATAGGAAGCAAATGGCTATGGAAATCACATTAGGCATTATGCCTATCAGAGCCGATCAGATTACAACAACCCAAAGGAGAGAATGAGGCATTTCAAACTTCAAAGCGTCAGTCAAGAAGCATGGGTGGTAGAGAAGGCGAAGACTTCATTTTTAGATTCTTCAATTCTTCCTTTTTACTTGACAAGGCGCTCTCAAAATGAGAGTTTGTTAATTTTATATATCAAATATTATCTTATATGTTATTATTAAAAGTTAAACCTTACCTTGTTAAATGTTTAAAAAAACTCTAGTAAAAAATATAAGTTAAAGTTCAACTTTTAACAACATATACATACATACATACATACATACATACATACATATATATATATATATATATTTATATTTTCATAAGATAATATCCAATACACAATTAATAAGTCTTTATTATGATAAATGTAAGTTAAGGGTCAACTTTTAATAACATATACTCCTTTCGCTCAAAAATATAAGGTATTTTTTGAGAAGTTAATTGTTTAAAAATGTAAAGCATTTTTAATTTTTCAAAGTGTAATCATTATCTTTTTTTAAAAATATTCTATCAATAGTTCTTAGAAAGATTATAACTTATATAAATGAACTAATGCATTATTTTTAAAAATCTTCATGGAAAAACATTTTACTTATTTAATTGTTTAAATTGATAAGAATAATATTTACACGCAAATAGCTTGATAAAGCGTCAAGCCCGAGGCTCGATATGAAACAAGTTTGATCCGTAACAGAAATAAACGGATGCTCTAAAACAAATAATTCTTTTCTTGTGAGAAAAACTAATGTTTTTAAAAACTGAAGGGAATATTAAACTAAAGGTGTTAATAATTCGTGATTCGTGTGATTCAACAACACAGTTAGATCAATTATAACATAATAATTAAATTAAAAATTTATATATGTATATAATAATTTAAATATAAAAAATAATATGAAATTGCTAGTTAATTTTAAAATAAAATCAAATATTTTAAATTTATCATAACTTAACAAATCACATGATACAATATAACATCAAATGATTAAAAAAAATAATTATTTTTTAAAAAATTTGATAAATTTTTTTTTTTAAAAAAGGATATTTTTTTTAAACATTCCAGTTTTTTAAAACTAAATCCTATTTTCAGTTTGATCCCGATTCTCAATCCAACCATCAGTCCAAAACAATTCAATATGGCTCAACTCTCCAAACAGTTTTTTTCAACCCAACCAAACCATTAACCTGACTAATCCACTTTTTCACCAGTCCAACCGTCCGTTTCAATTTGGTTTTTTAATCATTGATGAAAACCAGTAATTGTTATATATTTTATTTATAATATGAAATTTATTTTTTTAAAAAAAACCTCGTACAAAATTAAAGATAAATATAATTATTTTTATACTGCGATTGAGATAAATCAAACTTTTAAGTGAAATAAAAAATACGCCATCAAGTACAGATTAATGTTTTCTAAAATTCCTTATATTTTAAATTGATTTTGGGCGGTAGATCCAAGAAGGGAATTTCTAAATTCAGCTAATGCATAACTAGGAATCTCAAGTAAAGTTAGCCGTTGCAATTATACTCAAGCCAAGTTCAAATTCCACTATAAATTTTAGGTACAGGAAGGACGTAAATTTTAGGCGCAGAAACTGCAGCTGGCAACGATGATTGGCCAAGGAGAGGTTAGAAAATATCTAGTAATCAAATGACAAATAGGGCATACTATGGAATAAGGTAGATGGAAGGCAGCAGTTTGTCAACCAGGAGAAAAAAAGGTGAAGGCGGACAATACATGCCCGTGAAAGGCCATGCTGCCATGGTATCCTTTTGGGGCTTTTTATACGATGACAGGCCAACATCCTTCCTTTACTTTAATGCCACTGTCCCGACTCACGAGGCCATTTTCGTCTCCAACGCTAAAAACACCACATTTCACACCCGTGATCTCAGACTATGAACCTACCCCCCCCCCCCCAACCCCCACCCGGCACCATCTCACAATGACATTGTCAAGCACAAAATCAATCTTCCAATAAATGGGCTTTGGCATTAATAAGCACTTGGACCGTGAGAAATGAACTAATGGGCCTTCTTCTTATCCTAATGGGCTCACGTGAAGTAGTCAGGTCAGGTCTCTTTTTTTCTCTCTTCCCTCCGGTCATAGTTTCCCTTCTCTTCTAGAGATAACCTTCCCTTCCGTTATCTTTCGTTACATTTGTTTCAGTAATTGTAATTTAACTGCTATGCATGTAGATTGATATTTCATACAGGGATATTCAGTTACATCTGAACCAGTCACCAGAGTGAACCCCTACTGTAGATTTATGGTGGGAAAATAACACCATCTATCATACAAAACTACAAAGATTGAGCTATATGACTCAACTTGTGGGAAACTAACTAGAAATACCTGTATGCTTATAGAGGGAGCAGAAGATGCCTACAAATTCAAATACAAACGCCATCATATGCACGAATTGTAACGACGCTTTTTCTTGTCTGGTGTTGAGTGCACCTGTGGTTTGATACCGTATGTTTTCATCTGAAAATTTTCAAAAGCCTCTGAAATTGCTTCGACCTATTACAATTATATTGGGACAAAAAAGAAGGTAATAAGCACAAGCTGAACTGAAACTACGTAAGCATGATATTAAGCTTTCAACGACATTTAAATTCACTAACCAATTCTGGCCTTTTGGAGTACACCCTTACTATCATATCTTGGTAACATGCAGGCAGCAAGTGGCTTATACGATCCTCGGAAATTGTAAATTTCTCCTTACTTTCAAAATCCTGAATAAATTAACAAACATCTAAATATGCTAGAAAAAAACGAAAAACTGGATTGTGGAATGGGTTCATAACTCAAAAAGGTTTCTTTTCATGATATATGGGTTTCACACACAAAATTTCACTCAAATACATAGCCTTCAAAATCAGATGCGCCCGTCCGTTTTGTAAAAGGAAGCAAATGTTTGAAAAAAAAAAAAAGAATTGGTTAAATTCTTTCAATGAAGTGACATCAGGTCTAACATGTTAAATTGTTAACAGAATACCACCCATATCGGAAGATTGCAAGAAATCAGCTTCTCCAGGATTATCTGTAGAATTCTCCGCAACAGTTATTTTGACCCAAAACAACAATCGTCATGCACCAATGCCATGCAACTTGGTTGTTCAACGTCTAATCAACTCAATTTCAATCATACTACTGTGTGCTTTCAGGAATGCTCTAAAAGAGCAAAACCATGAGTAGAAGCATAGACAGTTTGGACATACTATGACAAGTGTTCAAATGGCCGATAGATATTATTTGAAAGGAAGAATCAAGATAGATGGTAGCAGAAGTGATAACTGATAAGCATCCAAAAGAGGAAAGTGGAATCATAAGCATCTTAAAATTTTCTCTTGACTAAAATAAAAAAATACGGGAGGTTGAAAAGTAGTTTTGGGAGAATCAAAAGGTTCTGGTCCGAGAGATAAGGAGTCTTGGTGGTGGAATAATAGTGTACAGGACAAAATCAAGTATAAGAAGAACTGTTTTAAAACCATACATTTGTGTAACAATGAGGAAAATTGGGAGAGGTACCGTATGGCTAAGAAGGAAACTAAGAGAGCTGTGGGTGAAGCTCATTCTAAAGCTTTTGAAAAATTTTATAAGAGCCTTGAGACGAAGGAAGGAGAGCGAAATATTTATAAGATTGCCAAGAGTAGGGAAAGAAAATCAAGAGATCTAGATCAGGTAAGGTGTATTAAGGATGAAGAGAGAAGAATTTTAGTTACAGATGATGAAATTAAAAATAGATGGGAAACTTACTTTTCTAAACTTTTCAATGAGGGAGAGGGTTCATCTAGTAACTTGGAGGATTTAGTAACTGGTGAAGGAGAACAAAATTTGCCATTTTATCGAATAATACGTGATAAGGAGGTAAAGGAAACTCTTAAGAAAATAACAAATGGTAGAGCCAACGGACCTGATTGTATATCTACCGAAACGTGAAAATGTTTAGGTGAAGAAGGGGTGAGATGGTTAACTAAGTTATTTAATGTGATTTTACGGTCCAAGAAAATGCCTGATGAGTGGAGGAGAAGTACATTAATTCCTATTTTTAAAAATAAAAGAAATATTCAGAATTGTACTAACTATAGAGGGATTAAACTCATGAGCCACACAATGAAATTGTGGGAGAAAGTAATTGAGCACAGGTTGAGATTAGAGACAAGTATTTCTGAGAATCAGTTTGATTTTATGCCAGATAGATCAACTACAGAAGCGATTTATCTATTAAGGGGATTAATGAAAAAATATCGTTGTAAAAATAAAGATCTACACATAGTTTTTATTGATTTGGAAAAAGCTTATGACCGTATACCAAGAAAAGTGCTTTGGAAAGCGTTGGAAAAAAAGTAAGTACGGATTGCTTATATTAAAGCCATACAAGATATGTATAAGGGGGTAAAAATTAGTATAAGAACGCCTAGTGGTCA